AGTCCATTTGTGAATCAATATTAAAACTGGGGACCTCGGGATGATCGTAGCCGATGGTTAAAGATACAGTGATATATCTTAATGTCGTAAACAGTGGCGTTCGTACGTCTTCTCGATTTGTTTGCAACATCAGTCCACTGAAGTCTCCATTTTCTATTCAACCCCACTTACAGCTGTCCTGTGTTTCTCCTACTGTTCATCCGAATGGGCAACCAAAAGACTGCAGCCAAAACCGGTGCAGCAAAGTGCATGGTTAATGGTTGTTCAAACTGAAACTGAACCGAATTAAATGATTTGTGTGCAATGAGAGCATTATCCAAAATTTGGATACCAACATGTGTTTAGCAAACTGTAATGAATTTTTCTCAAAACTGATTTGCAATGCAGTGCATCGTAGATGGTGGTTTGGAGACGTTGTCTAGTGTGATTGTGTTAATGTGCATAATTGAGTGGTGATTCGAATTGCGCTTGTGTGTGGTGAGCTCCCGTTCCTCCTGTCCCAGGTGACTAGAGGCCGACGCTTTCGGGTGTTCATCTGTCAGTTTTGTATTGACTTCTGACATGTCTGCTGCGTCGTTTCGGGTGAGGAATGAGGGATGGAGCCCTGACTGCTCCCTCTTTGGTCCGAAGGTACTGTACGGGTGTACAGAAGCAATACTGGAAAGCACTAAGAATTTTGCACCATCGCATAGCTCCCTTTTTCGTATTATTTGACCTAAACTTCGCTTCCGTACGATTAAGTATGAATAAAATGGGATTAGATGAGCTAACACCACTATATATGATTTTCAGTAGTACTACACAGTCTCTCGAGGTCATCAACCAGAGAGTATGATACCGGCAATTTATATGCACATGTGTATTTCTGGTGAACATTTTCATCTCTTCAATTCAGATTTTATCCCGCTTCCTGTCAGGACAAACTTCATAAACTTGCATCAGTGTTCGACTACGACTACTTAAAACTCTTTGCTTACACTTCTTTTTCCTTTTTTATTTTTAACTTTATCTATTTAATATGCAATGAAACAATTTGCAGGAAGGGGGAAGCGGCCAAACAAAGGGCTGCCATTCAACACACAATGGGGAAAGTCAGGCGGTGATGGTAGGATTCGAACACACATCCCCGGGCTGATAATTTGGTGACGCCACTATCGGGACACCACCGACTTAACGCACAAACAGATCTTTAAATTGAAGCGCAAAGTGGCGATCGATTGATATTCTTTTGACTAATTACATTTATGTTGCACATTTTTTGAAATCCCATTGGTTTCTCTCAACCAAAGAATCGCTACTTTTGAGGTCTGAGTCCTGCCTCTCGGTGACAGATGATTCCAGCCTACGATTGCTAGTGCGATTCTGTGTCCCAGTGATTAGTGATCCGTAATCCTTACAACAACTCTGTCTCCATACATTTCGGTCTATTGGCAAAATCAGGAATCACTGAAAATCACGATATCGGACATTTCTACTTTCTTTTACAGCGGTCGCAGACTGGATACCGAAGTATATCGTAAATGGAAGGGATAGTGGTTTTTCGATGTGGCAATTTTTCTAAAATTTGAAAAGTGATTCGCATTCATGGCATATGTTCAAATAGATGTGTTATACGGCTTGATGTGGCTTGATTGGAAATCTCTCTTGGATATTTTGTTTTGAATTAATAACATAAAGTGTACATATGGCAGAAAACAGAATAGTAAGGAGCTTTAACTAAGAAAAAACCACCACCTGGATATTTGCAGTGATCACGGTATTATTTGCCATCAGGTAAGGAACCTCTCGAAACAGAAGAACTAAACGGAAGTTTCAGATGCATGAATTATCATTCTACCGGAAAGACCAGTGATTCTAATTTATCTTCGGAATGGCAGAAATCACTTACTTGTGTATAGTGACCGCACATTCCGGAACGGCACTGGCCCGATCCAAAATCATAATTGACGTATTCTTCAAACCACATTTTCACAGCTCTGATTTTAACGGAAAACGAACAAAAGATGCACATCTTGACAAATGATAGTCACTAGGCGATCAATGCAATGTGATACTGTTCCAAGTCATTACAACTATCGCCGCCACAATAATGGCCAATACCACAAAAACAACGACTACCGTTAAATATGTCACTATCATTATTAACACCAACAACACTCTGAACATCTGTTTATCACGTAGTCAAATTTCCTTCCTTTCAATCAGTTGCTTCATGTCAGGCATACTAAAAATGGAATGCGCGATTCCGGCAGCACGATTCCCCTAAATTTGATGATTAGTTATTCCGACGAAAAGCTGTTCCCCTTTATGGTTTTGAATGCGAAATGTGTTTATGCTTTGGTGCCAGCACCTGTCACTCATGAAAAATATGCAAAAACATTTGAAAAAAATCTAACTGTGAAATATTTAACTAGAAGTAGTTGCTCAAGAATCAACATTTTAGAATTTTTTTATGAAAAAAGGTTGTTGAAGGGGTCATTCCTCCAGAATATGGGAAAATATTCAGTCGGATTTTCACTAATATATAAATGAAGGTCATCATTTCTTTATATGTTGCAATTGGACTGTAGACAGTCGNGCCCTCTATAAAAACACACGTTGATCTAGACGTCATTTAGGAGATGATGCGAACTCGAATTATTGTTCTATTTAATCAGTAGCATTCAAATATACTTTGAAAGCTCAATGAGTTGATTGTTTAAATAAGTTATCTATAGGATCCGTCTTGAACGCTGAAAAGCAAGTTTCATTGTCATCTGCAACCATGGTAGACAGCCAGACAGACGGACTGACAGATTCCGGTTATGACTATTATTCAGTTATTGATATATTTATAAGNAGATTAGATGTGTGCGAAAGCACACCAGTGCAAATACCTGGTTGATATTAGCCGTATTGCTCTCTTTAAATGTATTTTTCGATTAAAACAACTACTGATTGAGACGGCAGGTTCCTGTACAGTTTTGGCTTTTGAATACAGTTCGAGTTCAATATAAAGTTGATATGTTTCATTGTTAGAACCGAGAGAAGACAAATATTGCGATATGTTAATATTTCTTTTAATCTCTTCAGTCGCTACGACGTAAAAGCAAATTTTGGTAACTACTGTGGAAAAAGGGACAATAGTCGGGGAAGATTAGGAGAGGGTGGGGTGGAAAATCAGTTCGACGACAGTCTGACTGATTGTGTAAGAAAGTTTTGTGCGCACAAGACACCGGTTAATTTCGTCTGCGGAGTACCGAAGAAGAGCGTCTTCCTCAGACTCGTCTTTAAAGATGACCATATAATGAGCAACATGCATTAAAGGCTCAAGGCGGCGTTGTGTCGAACGGTTTCTGTCGCACAGCTTCGATGCACACCGTATACCCAAGGACTTCGCTTAGACCATCGAAAACAGAACCAGTAGAACAGTTCTCCTTCACATATCGTCTTCTAGTTCACCTGCAGTTGCGGTGACACTTACATCGACAGAACGAATCGGCCCCTGCACAGCGGATATCTGAACACATTCCCAAGTGGTTGTTAAAATAAATGACGCAACAAAGTGTTGGAGGTCAAACTCATAAGACAAATCCAGGGTGATCAATCGCAAAACATCTCATAGCGACTGGACACATCGTTGACCCACAAATGTCGTTCAAGCCCTTATTACGTAACATGAACCCCAAGATTTTGACATTTAGCGAGGCGATGCTAATCAAGTTACGCAACCCATTCTTGCGCGCACAAAATTTTCTTACACAATCAGTCAGACTGTCGTCGAACTGATTTTCCACCCCACCCTCTCCTAATCTTCCCCGACTATTGTCCGTTTTTCCACAGTAGTTACCAAAATTTGCTTTTACTAATACCAGATTGTTTTACTTCGTAGCGACTGAAGAGAATAAAAGAAATATTAACATCTCGCATTATTTTTCTTCTCTCGGTTCTAACGAATTGGATAAAGGGGACCCAATGTTTCATGTTTTATTGTTTCGATATCTAATACTCATCCACCTCCAAAATATATGTCCTCACCTCCTCGATATTTCAAAACAACCAGATAATTTCCAAAATACGGGCTACCCCAAATATAATATTCGAATATTCGAGCGTTGATAGTGATGTGGTCTGAATCGCTACCAATAACTTGGAATCCAGTCCCTCATAACTCGAGGATACTGTGTAGCTAATGATTTTCCACAATTAACTAGATCAGCTCTAGTGGGAGTTGGGTAATCATGTGGTCGCGTACCCGTTTCATACGAGCACCCGGGAGTTAAATCTCCAAAGGTACCGGTCACATACATTACTGATGAGTTTGAATGAGAATGAAACCTGAGTCAATTAGTTTATGGTTGTAGAGTTGAATGAATACACGGCGAAATGATACGAAACGGCCCTCGCAAAGCGACATTTTCATTCTAAAAATGATGCTACTCATTAGTAGCGGACTATAAAAAGGTTAACAGGCATTTAAAGTGGAACGCTAATAATATTAATTATAATAATAATAAAATTAATGAAAATAATATTATACATCACGATAATAATAATAAAATAATAACAAGAAAGATAAAAAGTAAATGAATATGGTTAAGGTGATTAATGTGATTTAAAAACAGTAATCATAATAATCATTATACGGAAGATATTAGGAATAATATCATATTATACTTTATATACATTATATTATATTATATATATTGCTACGTATCAAAAATGTTATTATATTATAGTTATATTACATATAACATTATATTATACTATATATATTGTATATATCTAGATATATAATATTTTATTATACGTACAGAAATTATGTTATATATATTATAGAATGCATATATAACATATGTATCAAATACATAAAATATGTAGTATATACAATATATATTATATATTATTATATTATATATATATCTCATAAATAATATTTACATATATATATAATACGTATTCAGATGGGATCAATTTGCTATCCAGCACATGATCCAAACTACACGAACCTTCAATAGTAAAAAGAATTGGTCGCAGGCGAGAACCACCTGACATTCCTTCAAGGTCACAATTTAAAACAAAACCGATAAAAATTAGCTCTCATACGATTCGCACACTTACATACGTATGTAATAAAATCAATGAGAATTGATTAGTAAATAATGAAATCATTCAAGCACTTAAAAAAGGTTCAGCCAGGAGGGCCGCACCGTATCAATCTGCCCAATACGTTATGGATCGTGCATAAAGGTGTTTGAAGGATTATGAATAATAGTGGAAAACAAATGAAAAAATTGAGCTCATGGAAATGTTAATTTGCGATTGGAAAAAAGTCAGGCTAGTTCGTAAACGAAAATGTCTCTAACCACAAGTATGGACTAGAAAAACTTCAAACTGGGAACTGACGTTTTCACATCCTGCACGCCTGCCCAATTCTGTCCAACCCATTGCCATGGATCTGTTTGTCGTTCCTCGGCTGAATCGTGGCCTACACGGCACTGATCAGCCAATCGTTGAGCTTTCATGGCCAAGTTCTCGTTCCATCGCTGAAGAGATTAAGTTGATATGCGTAAATATGTTTGGATTGAAAAAGTAAGAGGGCGTTAAGTTTGGCAATTCACCTACAAATTATTTCAGTGAGAACGTGGATCTTTCTTGTTAGATTTTTGTCTTGTGACATATTTTCACATTACCATTACAAATGCTTTGCGCTATTATTCTAACACTGTATCAAAAATCATTGATTTCAACTCAGCGAGTGATTTTTGTCATACTTTATGACCCCTTAAAGATGCGGTGCTAAATAAACCACGAGTTGTGGAAAACAATAAACAATTAGCTGCGTGGGAAGTAATTATCAGAGTCAACTGTGAAGCATGTTATCCATGGGATGGTGTCAAGTGATGGAAAGACTCTCAAATAACCATATTCAGATATTGACTATTCGTGAGTAGTCCTTTCAGATGAGCTAATCTGATGTTACACATAGGTAGTCATTGCAGATTAACCTTGTTTCTTCAACTANCTTGTTTCTTCAACTATGAGCTTATTTTTCGTTTGAGGACTTTGCCATGCAAAGAGCAAGGTAATGACGTTCGAGGAAGATCATTTATCCCTGAAATGTCTTCAACGAGTTAGTCTTAAACATTACCAGAACAACCGCGATCCCCGAGGCACCTGGAACTGCCAAACGGTGATTAAATAAAACAGTAGAGTAATGAACAAATTCGTTTTCAGATATTTGTATTCATGCCAATACATTTCAATATATATCACTACTTGGGAATAAAGTTAAATAATTTATTTGTCACTTACATCCTTGGCATTGGATGTCCAAACTTTCGCACCTATTCAACGAAACAACAAATGACCCCTGGGGTAGATGCGTAATTTAGTTATAAATAATACATCGCCACCAATCATGCAGGGTGTTTCCACAAAGGTTGTAATGACATTGACCTGGTTCTTTCAAAAAGAGATCTGTCTGTGCATGTAGCACGATGACATCAAGACATCACTAAAAGGCGCACATTGTGCCATTTTGTGCTATGATGGAGCGCACATTCCAATCAAGAGCGCAACGCACCATTGACCCGTAATTTTAATCTCGAGTTTTACACTTTTTTACTTGGTGCCCATTTGAGTCGGTTACCATTTCGCGTAGATGAGACTTAAACGTGAAAATAAGTGTTTTTTCCTGGTTTTGGAAAAGTTTTGTTCCATCAGTTGTGTTCTAAACATGGCTAATGGGAGGACTTCGTCAATTTCTTTCCCCCGAAAACAAATCTCAACAACTGAGTGGTGGCACGTATCCCATCAGTGAAAAAAATAAAAGACGCACCCTATGTGGCACAGTTAACAATCACCAAAAGCGAACGAATCGTGACCAACAGCAGTTTTCTTGTCTTTACCCGCGCAACAAGTCTGATGTTGCATCGCTCCAAGGGCGCTCGTTTTTCTCCACCACCGGGCAAAACTAAAGCTAATACCGATTGTTCTCGATAGAGTAGGGATGCACTAAGTTGTGTTGTAACCATTGGTTGCTCAATCAGAATCTTCTCTGCTCCATCCAACAAACCAAATGCACGACCCTTTCTTCTGTGAAATCAATTCTGTTATTGGTAGATTGTTCTACTCAGTAGTGCGAAACAGTTTTGCACGTTAAGATTGTTATCACTGAAGCCGGGGAGAATCTTGTCCAACTAAAGGTTGATATTGTCCGTTTTTTAGTTATTCATCAATTATCTATTTTTTATCTTTATTGAGTATGTGATTATGCGGTCAACCTCGCGGTAGAGGGCTGCGACCAATCGAGAGCTGTATAGGGAAATACACAAATTGGTGAAGGTGAGTGTTGTAGGCGGGTTTCGAACATACGATCCATGGGTTACTGATTTCATAATATTGACCATAACCTTGATGATATCCTCTTTATCTTCGTTCTTTGTGTCAAAGTACAAGTTTTTCTGCCACAATAATCGCGCTATCATGGTTTATGGGTGAATGCAATTAGAACTGTGGGGATACGCTGGCTTCACTACATTAGGTAGCTTATTCTCTCTCCTATGAGATGAGACGTTAGAAGTTCATTGGTAACAGTTGACTACACGAGTTTCACAAGTCGGTGATCACTCACAGAGAAACAGCATAAATGGGATTTTTGAATATCCGCTGATACCAGTTGTTAAATGATGGTAATGTCACTTCGTGACATATGTATGTGAATGATCAGTTTCTCAAAAATGCTTGTAAAAGAGTTACGCCTGGGATATTTTACACCAGAATGATCCATAAGTGATCTTAATCACGGGATCGAGTGACATTTTCTGTTCAAATATGTCGATTTACGTATACAATCCGAGGGTGTGATCATTCAAGGCCACAAACACAGGGATAATACTGCTGTATACAATTCCTTCTGTAGCTCCGTTTCTCATGAACACGACCGTCCACCAACTCCAATGTGGTTGCGCGGCGACCTACGTGGGTAGAACAGAGTGACAACTACACAATCGGGTGGTAGAACATATTACAAATTGGGTCTACAATCAGATGACTCAATCGAGGTCAAGTCCGCTGCATAAAAACGACGGTCGAAACTACAGACCTCGTCCTCAGCCATTGCTCGACATCTGCTGATAACGCAACACCAGATCGACCGAAGCACAGCGTTTCGGATTGTCTACAAGTCATGAATCGCACGTTTGCTAAGGTTTGCTGAATCGATTACTATGACTCGATGGAGCCCCCCCCTCTGTGTCAGCAAAAAGAACTTTATGTTAGCCTCTCCCTACCCTGGTGAAATGGTCCTTTCACCTCTCCCTCTTTTATGTTTGTTCTCTTTCAATCTATTTTGTTTCTCTTTGTTGCCACACTAAAACCCCATATAAATATTGTATTTCCTGCAGTATGCACCATGTTGAGATGCAGCGAAATCGTTCTAGACATAAATCGTGCAGTATTGCGATATGGTCTTTTCTGTTGAAATTAATCTCGGGAAAAGCTTGCATCAGTTGATTTGTCATGTAACGTCCCGTGGGTTAGGTAACCGAGATCCGTGAACGAGCAGCAGGTCCTGGCCACAATTTCTTTTACCTCTTATACTGTTCATCGTACGACAGCGTATGATAAAACAAAAATCAGTTGCAACACTGCACTAAACTGCCGTTTGTGTATCACAAACAAATAATACGAATGAATTTCCGTATCCCCGCTTTTGATGAACATGACCGACCACTTGAGATGAGTTTGTCAATAAATGATCAGTTCGCTACCGCCGGTTCAATACTGTGTGCCAGAAGAAACATTGATTGCCACCCCTGTTTAGTCATAACCACAAATGATTAGTCTCAGTTCGTAACAGATTTGAATAAGTCTTATCGAGATGCACATCGTTCATCATGATTAATATTTACCGTTTGTTTACAAATGAGGCTGGTATCATTCAGCTAAACGCTCTAAGCTCCTCGTTCACTCACATTTGGAGAACATCAAACTCCATAAATAACGCATGTTGTTTCAGAGCATGGCTAATTTATATAATCAAAGGCATTTAGCGATGATGGCGTTGTCATGATGAATGGCACAATCTTACAATGAAACCGAACAAGCGATCGATTCACCTGTGGATGATCAGTGCAAATGGCGTCGCAATAATGTACAAATATGGAACAGACAATAGAAAAAGACACAAAGCACTCTCCATCACAGTCAACATTTGTAACGATTGTAGCAGCAGTAGTAGTTGCTGACACACTTTATACCGCATATGTGATCTACTCGCAAAAACCTGTGACAATCCTTCATTTTTGAGCAAAACAGAACAGATATTTGCGGTATCCCGGAATGCAATCGACTGATCCCGAAATTCAAATGACGGCATCAAACTAGCTAGCATAGACGCCTATTTTTGATCTTACCAGGGTTCATCTAGACTGCTTTAGATGAGTGTACTAACCTCTTTTTCGTTGTTCGAATTCTTGTTTTCTTGTTAGAGGCTGAGTTTTTGTTACGACTTGGCAAAGGTACTTACAACTCGATTCAAACAGAACTCCAACCTCGCCCATTTGAGTCTGTAGCCCCAAAGGAACTGGTTAATATAAGTTTTTATTGCGTTTGTGAACTTCCGTCTCAAACTTTCCAATATGCGTAACAAAATTTGTGACAAAAAATTAGTTTATATCAAAGGGAAAATAACAAACTTAACCCGACAGTGCCTCTGACACGTTCAAAAATCTTGGATCAATATGTATCGGGTGCCGCATGTTGACATTCACCTGTCACATTTCTAGCTCGCCAGGATATCTCCAACCAGGAAAGCCTACATGTGTGTAGCTTTCCATATACAAACATAATTGGACCATAAATTTACTTACCAATAGAGCCATTGATTTAGCCGGGGGCTGACCTGTTGCCGAACAGGAACGGATTTGCTGACGATATTCGTTGTGCAACTGCAAAATCTCCTCTTTCCAATTCGATGAAAGTTGACCATTAACGAAGCCGAACAGAATAAAAACAATAGCATGGTAAATTAGTGGCATTTTAACGCAGAACTAATTATTATTGGTCTATCACTCTTTACGGTAAATGTGTATTTATATATCATTCCGATTCCTATCTGATTAAACGGGATACGATGAGCTTAGTCTTACATACACCGCCTGGCAAACTTAGATCGGATTATCGTACATGAACGGTTCGCATAAGCATTTCAATCACGATAAACATAGTGAATACATACCCGCCAATTTGGATCATCAATCACGTTCCGTGCCCACCCCCACCCAACCACAATCGCGATCGATAAACTTCCACAAGAGGTATTCATTGGTTGGTAGCAACTTTCGGTCTCTGGTCATCTCAGCCGTTGGTCTCATTCAACATGGATTAGGAGCCAGCTGTCCATTAGAATAAAAGCAGTCAATTGACACTTGATGCTATGTCAAGTGGGCTTTATCCATGTGTAACCTCAGAACAGAAACCATCTAATCCGTGCTTCCCATGTCCACGGGTTCACCCAAACTGAACGGTTTTGTGCGAATGGGAATCCTAATTTGTTGCACTACGAACAAATGAGGAGTTGTAAATTTAGCCGAATAGCTCGTGTATAGGTAATACGTATGAAAAGAACACTATAACTGAGTCAGAGAATTCAAAATACGTTTGGAATGAAGTTGGTACGTGGCTTTTATTACCTTTATAGTTGGCAGCCATCCCATTATTTTCAAAACACTTCCGGGGATTTTCAAAAGCAAAACAAATAGTTATCGCTATTGTCCTTTCTTTTCATTCATCGTTCATGATTTTCAACACAATTTCATTTTTCCTTCAAAACGTAGTATTTTTTATTTGATTTTTACCAAAACAATTTTCCATTTGACTGAACAGCAAAACACAGTCGCGGTGAATTTTTTGGGTCTATCCACTGCAGAGTAAACCCATCCTACATATTCGAGGTCGCATGCGATCGCGTTAGAGCGGGCAATAAAACACAATAGGGCCTTTACATGAATCAAGAGAATGGCGTTAAAAAGTCAAAATAGTATTACTACACTGGTCATTTTGATTGTTCAGTACTCGATCGGTAGACCTTTTGTTGACGTCACTGTGGTGATAACACAGAGATGGAATATTATTTGCAATCCGCGCACGAACTGGATATAAATCTGACCAACATCGAACGAACATGATCGATTTGTGTCCTGTTGCAGCCGCTTGAGGTGTACCTTATTCTCATGTAGCACGTCGTCGATTAATAGCGCGCTAATAGCCGGCTACATCTGAGATACAAGTGAGCTACGGCAGCAAACTTATAGCCCATTTATAACCCATTGGTCGGATAATAGCGCGCTAATAACCAGCTACAATGAGCTACATTGCGGAACATCCTGTTTTAGGTTTTCCGCCTTTAAGATGGACAATTATCCCGTCTCTACCCCCTTAATAATTCTATATTTTCACATTTATTTACTATCTCGCCGTGGACTTCAGCACATTTTGCGCAATGATTAGAAGGCACTTAATCCATGAATTAAGGCACCGAAAATACGAATTGTTTGATGGAATTGATTATTAAGTGAGCCTTCAAAGCGATAAGAGTTTTGATAATTGCGTTTTAAAGGTTAATCACTATTGGATAAAAAATGTAGCCAATGTAGCTCATACATAGCTCCTTGTGGCCGATTGATGCAATGTGCAGTGCTACCAGGGTTAATTCTATTACAGTATCCTGCGACGGACGTAAGCAATGGCTCAATTTTCGATCGAGAATGATCCATTTGTATCAGCACAGCACGCCCCGATAGGACTTTTCAGCGGAGAGGACGAACGCAGACACAGACACAGATGTGTGCGCGTACGAGCAAGATGAACAAGCAAGAAATGTCATGGAAATTGTGGTGTGTATGACTGGGGCACATTTCAGGATAGTCTCTCATGCGCTACAACAGGAGTTTGATCAACCTGTGCTCCATAGAGGTCATCGACATATCGCTGTGAAACTTGAAAAATGCATGAGTCTGGCAGAGCTGATGAGATCAACAAGGCAGCTTAAAAGGATGCTCAGACGACTCCAAATGATAGTCGGACAAGTTGACATGATATTGAAACAATGTGAAATGATTCTCAGATAGTATTGAATAATGCTCCGGAAACTTGAAATCATATCCGGACATCTTGAAATGGGAAGACCTGATCTTCAGTCGCCCCCAGGGAAACTTTGGCGCACGTTACCATCCGGCACGCCCCCCCCCCCAGTTATTTGCTTAATCTTGGGTCATTA